GGTTTGATAATGATGGTGATGATATTATTGGTGGTAGTCATATAACTTTAAAAATTGCTTATAGTTTGCCAAGCAGCAAGCTTATCACTTCTATTAATTTTTTTTTAGTCTTTAAAATAATCTTATGAGCTAAGATAATAGCCTCAATTTACAGATAGGAAACCCATAGTTCAGAGTTGAAGTAACTTGCTACAGCCACTGAGCAGTAGACTGAGATTTGATCCCAGGCTCTCTGGCTCCAGACTCTGCAGTGTGAAACATTCACTTATATCCCAGCGCTGGATGTTAGTCATATGTCCTGAGAAGACTGTCTGGTATTCCTAATCTCCAAACCACAGGCCAGAACCATCATCCTCCCTGGATGATTATTCACAAAGGGCATTGAGAAATCTTTTGTTTCAGATTATTAGACTTTTTTTTTTTAGTTGTAATAATCATTCTTTTAACATGGGGGGAAATATGACTTGTTATACTGTCACTGTGAAACCAAAATTTGGACAATTTCATTATTCCATAAAGGTATTAATAGAATTACAACATAGAGAAAATGGAATTTTTGTATATTTCCTATTTTCTATGAGAAAGTGAGAGAGAGAGAGAGGGAGGGAAAACCAGGAACGTCTCAGTGCCACATTTATAAAGGGAAGTTGTAGCCAGATGTCATTGCTTTCAGTTTTCTTGGGTACAAAATGAGAAATAGGTCATGGAGACCTTAGGGGAACTTTACCCACCTAAGGTTCACAGAGCTCGACCACAGATGGACTGTTCTTTGTCTCTACCTCTTAAGATTCTTGTGCTGGTCCCAGAGATTCAGGAGGGCTGGAAAAACCTTTACTTTTTGAACAAAAGGGCAAAACAATTCACCAGCAAAACAAATAATCCACTGAATATTATATCATTAATTAGTTTTATGCCAGTAGTAATACAAGAGTTTGTTTCAAAATTTTCTTAAAGTCTATTGAAGTTCTGAATTATGAATATTTTTGACTTTTAAGCATGGTCTATTAACGAACTGAAGTCTTGATAAAGGGGAAAAAAGATCCCCTGATACCGATGCCCTGAGCACAGTTTCCTGAAACATCTCCAACAGTCCCTGGATGGTTGAGGAAGTGCTCTGCCTTCTCTAGTCTTATCTTGCTGCTTGTCCTCATGGTGACTGACACCCTTTGATCAAAGAGGCTATTATATTATTCACGGTGCTTAAGACTTAAGATCTGAGCACTAGTGAACTTGGGAAAATGTAGTGCTTAATAAGTAGCATTAGCTAAGTGACCTTGGCCACAAAACATAGGGTTGTGTTCTTTTCTTAATGTGCAATGTGGTTAGAACTTAGGAGGTCCATTTAAAACTTTGGGAAACTTTGTGGTGTTTAATTTATGGTTCAGTCCTTGTTTTTAATAAATATAATCTTTGATGATCAATTTCATTGTTCTACGTACAAATGACTCAATGAAGGAAAATTGCGACTGCCTCTCCCTTCTCAGACCTGCATAACCTTGACCCAGTACTTACATAAAAACTGTCCGCCTATCTCCTCTGCCTTACCTGATTCAGAGGGTACAGAGTGGAACCTCACTTGAGCTGTTTATAAAAGACTAAATTTGGTGGGGGTTTCCATGTTAAAAATTGAACACCAGTATTCTAAAATCTATGGTGTTGTGCTATTTATAAAAAATAACAGTCTAGGGGAAAATGTCAATGGATTTTAATTGAAACTTTAGTGAGAGACTTCTGGCCACTCCTTTCAAGGAGATACTTCACTGAAAACATCCCTTGTTTGTGACCTAGAGATAAAATGTGAGGGATTAGTGTATTTTTTTTTGGGTCATATAGTTTGTGATTGTAGCCCCGCATACAACAGCCTCTTCTTTTGTTGCAAGATGATTTAAAAATCAACTCAAAAGCAAAGGGACAGTTTTCTACATCAGGGCGCTGCTAGAGGGATGTTTTTGTTCTGGGAACAAAAACACTCATTACGTTGTGTGTGATGAGAAAATGTTTCTTATTAGAAATTTCTTCATGATTGAATCCAGACAGAACCCATCTGAGCAAATGGCTTTTGCTCCAACAACTGAACAGAAGATGCTAACTTGGACAAGGCACTTGCTTTCCTAATTCAGTCGACAGCCCAAGAGAGGTTATTGTTTTTACTTAAGAGAGGGGGGGTGGGAGGAGGCCAGGATGGACCAGCAAAGGTTGAAATGTGAGAGTGCAGCCAGGTCAGGATTGGGTCCTTGTGCCTGAAACTGCTGTCACTCAGTGACTTAATTCTCAGGGTGAAACGACCCTAGGAACTAAAAGGCTGGAACATTTCTTTCCCTTGTGGAATAATCCAGCTTAAGAACTCTGAGTGTGCATCCCTCTGAAGCTTTCTGACAGCTTGCCTCCCTCAAGGGGAAAACCAAATCGGATTTAGTCCTTGTTCTCTTTTTGCAAATAAATTTCTTCTTGGTAAATAGAGTTGCAGGACCACAAGCTAACTTGTAAAAGGAGGAACTTGGCAGCAGTGTCTCTTCCTGTGTGGGTCTCTTTGTATCCATACACCTCTCTCTGCTGCTTTCTCTCCTTTCTCTCTCTCTCTCTCTCTCTCTCTCTCTCCTTCTCTGATAGAACTTTTTTTTTTCTCTAAGAGAACTTATGTGAGCATTTATACATATTATGTGCCAGGTACTGTTTTAAGCTCTGGTGATATAATAGCAAATAAAGCAGATCAGGTCAGTATCCTGAGGAGTGAGCTTTCTACAACTCTCTAAAGTTCGAACCTTGACTCTTCTCCATTGCTAACTTTGTAACTTCGGGGCAAGCTACTCGGTCTCTCTGTGCCTAGTTTTCCTTATCAAATATCAGTACTTACCTCAGTTACCCTTTAAAGGAATAAAACGAGAGAACCCATGTAAAGCATTTAGAAACAGCATGTGAGACTCAGGTGAGCACACCGTGCCTGCAGCTATTTCCACTGATGCTGTTTGCAATTTCAGCACTTTCTCTCTCCCTACGGTGCTCATTGCCTCATCATTTGCCGGGTGCCCTGAGAGACCACTTTCCTTTGTGCCTCGTTTTCAGGAACAGGGATCAGCCCAGGGAGTAGCAGTTGAGAGCAGCACATGCCTGTGTTCTAGAAGTGCATTATTAAAGCACACCTTCATGCTGTCAACCCAGGGTCCTGCCAGGAAAAAGGGGATCCAGCCCCCTGCACATTCACAGAAGCACATGAGAAAAAAAAAACAAATCAAAATGAACGCAAAGGATGCTTTGTAAAGACACAGATCTTTGCACAGTGGAAAAGTCAGGTCTATCGCTTTGCAAAGGGCAGACCAGCCTCTTCCTAATGTCAAATTGAAGGACGTAGAATCTCTTCTGTGTTAGTAGCTCATTTCCTGGAACTTTAAAACTCTTTGATATTAATGGAGGAGGTAAATCATTTCAGATATTTTTTCAGACATACCATGTTCTACTTAGGTACCGTCCATCTGTACCATGTACCTGGCAAGTGACTTTCCTAGTTTCTGACAAGACCCATCATTAATCACTAGCTTGGGGTAACTTGTGTCTCGTTATGCCATTGATTCTAGGAAAATACTTTCAGAAGCTTGGAAAGCCATATATTTATTATAATTTTCCTTAAGATACTAGTGTTCAGGGATGAAACAATCACCAAGATTTATACATTTATTAAATCAATGACATCATTTTAAAATGAAAAAGTGTTTGAAATATTTTTCTTAACGTACAGGAAAAATAAAAATAATCCTACCTTTTACATTACTCTGCTTTTTGATAAAACCTTAGGTAAAGTTTATTCTTTTTTTTTGGCAACGGGATTTGAACTCGGGGACACTCAGCCACTGAGCAACATCCCGAGCCCTATTTTGTATTTCATTTAGAGGCAGGGTCTCTCTAAGTTGCTTAGCACTTTGCTTTTGCTGAAGTTGGCTTTGAACTCATAATTCTCCTGCCTTAGCCTCCCAAGCTGCTGGGATTACAGGTGTGTACCACTGTGCCAGCTAGTTTACTCTTAATACAAACCTACCTTCTGATTTATTACTCTTGTAAGAGTTTATTTTAGCTCTGATAGTTGTTTTCCTTTTTCTCACAAGCACATCCATCTCTGCCAGTGTTTCTTGAAAGAAGATCCCAACCCCTTCTCTGATAGGAACCATGTATGTGATTGCAAGCGGATCACTGAGGTTCCAAAGGTCTTGTTCTCTTCACACATAAAATGAAGGGCTAAACTTCATGATCTTCATAAACCTGGCAGATCTATTCAAATTCATATTTTCCCTATGGGAATTATAGTATCTGAGATTTGATAATAAAATTAGTAAGGCTTACTCCATAAGCAAGTGCAAAAAACCAATTTCATTATTCTGCGTAAGTAATTTAAAATACCTGAACGAGGAAATGCACTTGACTTTAAAACTAAACCCTTTCTAATTTAACTCTGCTTTGGTACCTGGTAAGCGGGCTGCTGGAAAACATCAGGCATGGCTGGGGATATTGTATTATAGATGCAGTATTATACCACAGTCCCACGGCATTTTTGTTGTTGTTGTTATGGTTTTAAATTCTCCAACTAAATGCCAACATCGACACCTATTTTTGTCATCTGCTTCTATCTCATTAAGTATAGAACAAAAAGAACAAAACAATAATATTCAAGGAGTCTTGTTCTGAGAACTTCAGATTAAGAAGTCTTTCTTTTGTGGGTAAAATAAATGAGTGATTATTTAACAGGTGGCTATATTGTATTCAGAAAGCATCTTTTGTTTTTTATGGTGTGAAGACCAGAAGGATATTGAAGACAGATCTGTGGATCTGAGAATACCAAGTTGATGACTAAAGAAATCACTTTATGCTGACTGCTGAAGGTGCAGGGACTCCTGGTAGTGGGGCTGTGTCACTATATGTTTTATTTTATTAAGAAATTTCCCATTTTGAATTGAATGGACTCTTATTTTTCCCTCTTTCTCTCCAGGATGAGAACGCAGTCAGCTTCTTACCTTGAAGAAGGTCATTGTTGATCCATCTCTGACGGCCCCGTATTCTATCTTGGTTTGCTTTGCCAGATCGTCTGCTGAATCTATGGGGGATTCCATTCTCTCTACTGTCAAGAAGGCAGCCAGGTTGGCAGTGTAGGACGAAATGATGATTAGGGTGAAAAACCACCAAATTCCTCCAACTATTCTGGTCGATAGAGCTTTGGGCATCAGCTCTGATCCTGTGGTGTTATCATCAGAGTAAAAGTGTTAAATAGAGGGAGAAGAAAAGGGAAGACTAACAGTTGGACTCTATTCTAGGGTGATAAGCCAATCAAGGACTCTCAATCATGTATGTAGACAAAATAAATGCTTTTTTAAAGAAATGGAGCAAAATATAAATGATCCTTTTTAAAAATCAGTAGTCATCACTTTTGCTGAAAATATCATTTATCAACAGCTGATGGTATTAAAATGGCTCTAACCCTGAGATGGTCCTTGTCTAAAATTTAGTTTAGCTGCTTAAAATTGAAACATTAATCGTAAGACATCTGTCCATTTATTCTTGTCTAAAATACATCCTATAGTGTGAATTAAAATGTTCCAGGACTTTTTATAACTATGAAAAAAATTAAAATGCTAACTTATGTTTATTTAAGGTTAAAGAATATAAAAAACTTTCAAAAATTAACATATTATGTCATTTATCACATGTCATTTACAATGAAATTTTTTAATAAAATGAATTAAGATGCAGTCATACATGATGGTGAATGAATTATTTTACTAGTTTTATGTTACTTTTAAAGTCACAATTATGTTTTTCTAATGTAGAGTCATATGTTTGGTTAAAAAAGAATATATTCCTTGAAAAATCTAATTATGTCCTTTAAAAAAGTGCTATTTCTTAAGGACACTTCAAAAACTGGCTGTTTCTCGGCTGGAGAGAGGCCCTTCTTAGTAAGAATATACATTTTGGGTATCATTCGGATGATTATTTATTTTGGGGGAATACCAGGGATTGAACTCAGGAGCACTCAACCACTGAGCCACATCCCCAGCCCTATTTTGTATTTTATTTAGAGATAGGGTCTCACTGAGTTGCTTAGCACCTTGCTATTGTTGAGGCTGGGTTTGAACTCGCGATTCTCCAGTCTCAGCCTCCAGAGCCACTGGGATTACAGGCGTGTGCCACAGTGCTCGGTTCAGATGATTACATTTTAAAGATAGCATAGAAGAACTTATTATGTTTACCAAGAAAACTTTCTTTTCTGAAAGAAAGGATATCAGCTAAGTTTACATAAAAGGCAGACATCTTAGACATGGTCTGGTTCAATTTTGATCTAACTGAATTGTGGATGTCTACAAACACAGGAGCAGAAGCAGAAGGGCCCAGAGGTACAATTTGAGTTCAAGTTGTACTGATTCATGAATGCATTTTGTCTAGTCCATTTGCCTGGAATTGACCCTTGGTCCTGTACTTAGCATTTCCTCTGGGAATCTGAGAACACGAGAGTTTTTGAGACCAGTCAAAAACCCTCTGAGTGGAAAACCCTAGAGGACAAAGTAGAGTAGGTCCAATATCTTGTTTAAAGGATCCTTTCTCTATCTATACCGATTTGGTGTCTTGAAATTTTGTTGTTAATAATGGCTTAAGATAGAAGGGGAAATTGGAGTCTCCCAATCTACAAATAAATGATTTTATGCTCAGGTTTAATCTATAAACAGACACACACGTTGCTCACGAAGTTAAAGCTAGCTCAAGGCTGGCGATAAGCAGATGAAGGTTGGCAGAGATTCTGGGCTTTGAATAAACAGATCTATTCTCCTAATGCTATTAGGGATCTTTGTGCTTTACTCCCTCTTAATGAGAAAAGTGGTTGGACTGCAGTTTGCATTTCCTTCTTTTGTTTGTTTAAATTTGGGTGCGTAATATTACATAAATTTATAATAGTTTCCATTAAATTGCCTCCAAGGATTTAGTGGAATAATTTGTTGTTGTTGTTTTAATCTTGTGGTTAAATGGGATTTATATGCCTATGGGTGTATGTGTTTAAAGCCCAAGGTTATTTCATATCTTTGTACTTAATTGATCTAGCAGCCTTGTAGCAATGTGATATTATTTTAGATCTTTAGTTGGTTATCATTAAAGTACCATTTACTTCATAAAATAGCCACAGGAAATAAATAACACAGCTAATATATGTATTTTTTTTAGTGTATAGGTGCAGATTTTCTGCTGTTAATTTATCTGTATGTTATTTGGTTACATTCATGAAAAGATTAGCTTTTAACACATTTGCACATTTGTACATTGTACCACAGTAAAACTGGACAGATTAATAACCAACTGTTAACATGTAAAATATAAATTCACATTGCACACTTTAAAATAAATATGTTTTTGGATGGAATTCTCTTAAAAATTAAAAAGATACATATTATAGAATCCTACTGAAATTACATTTTAAACTCTCAGTAGATGGTATCAACTCAATTCCTCAATATTTTTTGTGTTTTTTTTTTAAATTCACATATTTTGTGAATTTTGTGACTCTCAGTGTTAACTGGCATATTTAGAAATGGCTTCCCTGAAGAAGAGATGACTTATGTGAATTCAGAACTCTACAGGATGAAGTTATGAAAACAATAAAAGTAGAGCAAAACACCATTGGCAAACATTCGGGATGAGAGACAATACTTGCTGAGGTCTCTTTAGTGCCATTTACGGCAGACATGACAGCCAATCCTGATCCAGACTTTGCTCACGCTCTGTAGAAAAGAGAAAGTCTGATCATCACATTCAGAAAGAAATTAAACAAAATGGTTTCCAATCGAGTACAGTGACAAAGCTTCTGCGAACAAGAAAGAGCACCACAGAGCAGAGCTACCTGGTCCAACGCCACATGCCAAGGACAGATACACTAACAGTCACGAGTACCCCGAGTTTGAGCATGGAAACAGTTTGTTGCACCTGAGAAAGGTTGGTAAACTTCTGAAAGACAAGCAGAGTCTGGTTGGGGCTGACTGTCATGTACCCAAGGTAGTGGTAACTAGCAGACACTGCATCCCACAGTTTGCTGTGGATGATGGTAAACTCCAAACAAGTAGAATGTGAAAGAGAAGTTCTGGGGGTGGGCACTCTCACAGGACAGAACGCGGTCACTGCCATATGTCTGCACAGCCTGCTGCATGCTCTGTGAAACCTAAGTGCATTTTTTTTTCTATTCTAATGGCTGAAGAAGGTGAACTTTTGGGGAGGGGAGGAGGTCTCCTTCACTTTGAAAGTAATTGCTTACAAGATAAATACCCTAAAAAATTAAACACACTGGTAAAGCAAGATATAGCTTCTAATGGGGTTTGTTGCAGGATTTATAGCTCTGTGCTGTGCTCTAAATTCATGCCAATGGTTTCTAGTAAATCAGGTAGTGTTGGTACCTATTTAGCAGTGCCCACATAAACTATGCATAATTGCATAAAGAGAGGATCTACCTGGTTTCTTCAGTTATTTTGTATTTCTGAATAATTACTATCGGCTCTTAAGCTCTGTCTCTGTCTCATTTGGAGATACAGAATATAAGCATTTCAGGTGGTAAGATAACAACTCTCTAATGAGAAACCTTAGGTTCACATTTCAAATAACAAACACAATTTAATGGTATATCCCAGTTGGATTTTCCTTTGCCAATTTATTTTGTAGCTTATTGTCAAATGAACAGATATTCCAAACACAATAATATCTGTGACTTATGATTTTCTTAAATTGATGTATTTAATCTTTGAAGTATTTTCTAGATCCTATGCATGGAATCAAAGTTGAAGAAAACCCACAAGAGATGGATTTCTTCCAAAGGTTAATACAACTCACCCCTCCCCCTGCAACAAAGCCAAAATATCCTAAATCATAGAAAATGGATAAAATGCACTACATTTCTCTAGTTTGATTTTTATTTCTTCAACCCCTACAGTTTACTGTTGCTAAGGTTACCAGTGAGGGAGATTGTGACAAGTTCCTGGGAGGCTAAGATGAATCTCTGTAGGGTTTGTCAGAGTGGTAATTAGGTGAAAGTTCTAGGTATGGTGAGCAATTGGAGGAATCTAAGTGAACTTAATCTTCAAACCATTTAAATTTCATTCCTTTCAAACCTCTGACTTGTGGAGTTATGGCTGAAAAGGAAAAGATTGACACCTCCATCTATGCAAATTTGTATACAATTTCTAAGGTACTTTATCCTTTGCTACCCACAGGAAAATGAGTATTCATTGCCTGATAGAAGTCTTATTTTAGATATATAGCAAGGGAGTTCCATTAAGGTCATATTTTTGCCGTTTTCTTTGCCTTCAGAACTAGTTAGAATGTCAGTGGCTATTATTTGAAATTCCTGAGATGACGCTTCAGCCTACCCTCTAGCTTCATGGTGGAGTTTACCAGCACGAAAGCCTGTCAGCAGACTGTGGGATGCGAGTGACAGAGAAGGGCAACCGGTGTACCTTGCTGCATGAGAGCTCCAACTCCAAACCAGAAACTATTTAGTAAAGTAAAATTGTTTTCCACCACGTCTGAGTCGGGGTTGCAGGGGTGGGGGTTGTACCACTCGTAGGGTGTAAACCTGTGGTGTCAACAGAAACAGTCTGTCAATATCAGATAGATACACGGGGTACCCGCACAACCTGCTGAGCAATGCAGAAAACCCAACAGTTAATGATAAAAGAACAAACCAGAAGACCAAAGGCCACGTCAAAAACTTACTGCTTTGATGAGCAAAATGCGAGAGCCTTGGGTTAGTGTTTACCAGCCTTCTTATTCCTAAGTAAATCCTACCGGTCAGCGGGAATCACACTCTTCAGATCTAGGTCTACTGAATTCTTCTGAGTTTTCATTAAATTTCCATTTTACTGAAAGACTAGGTCAACTGTAAAGAAAACTTCCCTCATCCCAAGTATTTACCCCACCAAGGAGTGATGACTGTGACACACACTTGTGGCATAGCAACTACACTGTCAAGATCCTGTATTGCTAGGTCCTGTGGGAGACAAAGAAGAAGGGTGACATGCCTTTGAGGGACTTCTATGGCCAGGTGCTTAGAAGGAGTCTGAGTTGTCTAGTGATTTTGCAAAGCATCAAAGAGGTAACATGTCTGAAAAAAAAATTCCTGAATAAAAATGGGGGATTGGATTTTGGACCTATTAGATATTTTTAGTATAATATATGGAAAACATTAGGATCCTTCAATGAATAGACAAGGTTAACTTTGAAAATTATCAAAGTCCAGGCATAGAGGTACAGTAGTATTAACTCCATAGTGTGGGTTGTTGGAGAATTTTAAGTTCATAATTTCCTCTTGGTTCATTTTTAATTTGATTGTTTTTAAAACTATGTCCTACGGTCAGTTAATCACCAACCCTAGTTAGGTAAGAAGTTTCTATAGCATAGTCATAGCTCTGTCTGCAGAGCCACAAGCAACACAGGTTCCTGGAAAAACAACTATAGTGTAGGAAGTCAACCCTAGCAAATAAACTCAAGCAGTTTGACTTCAGTCTCTTTATTAGTAAAGAGGAGGGAATCCAGATATCTCTGAGGATGTATTTAAAGTAAAAATATGGAGATATGTCACTTGCAAGAAAATGGATTGAATTTGAAACCATTATGTTAAGCACAGTTGGCCAAATTTAGGAGGTCAAGGATTGTATTTTCTCTTGTGGGAAATTAGAAAGGACAAAGGAAAAGTATATAAGTGTTGGAGGGATCTCATGCAAATTGAAGGGAAGTCTGTAGAATAGAGGAAAGGGATTTGGGGGAGGGCGGAGTGGAAGGAAAGGGAGAAACTTGAGAATGATATTGGCCAAATTACATATATTGGTATATTGTGTGCATGTATGAATATGTAATGACAAATCTCACCACTATGTGCAATTATAATGCACTGATTAAAAAATGTGGGAAAAATCTGGGGAATTGCATCCATTTTGTTTCCTTTTCTATATGTCTATCTGACCTCTATAACTCAGAAGAGGTGTTCCCTCTGTGGTTATTTTTCAGGGCTACTTTGCTAAAAGGTGCTTATTTTTTCCAAAGAGATATCACCAGATGCTCAGCAAAGTGATCTGGGAATGATTTAAAAATGCAATAATTCTTAGCACTGGAAGCTTTGCCATTTGCCATTGGGTTTTTTTAATGCAAGCAAGAGTATCAAAGTAATGTTAAAGCACCATAAAGCCAATGAGAACATACGGAATGCTCTCCAGCCATAAGGTTTCAGCAGTAAACAGTATCAGGCTGCTGACACATTGGGGAGAACAGGGCGTAAGGTGAATATATAATCTACAGTGCAAAGCAGAGCATACTGTGAATCATGCACAAGGAACTGGGTGAATAGTTTCTCTTAATGAAAAAACTACTCTCTAACCCCCTGGACACCTTCTAGAAGGTGTACAGTGTCTCTTCATCAAGTCTTGGGGGACGGGGATAGCAGCCTGGTAGTTTATCCCACCATAATGGTATCCAACTCATCCTGAAGCTTTTCCACAGCTGCAGGGTGCACCGTGCAGATTCCCATGAAGCTTATGAATATTGCTGTAATTGACAATGCCATGCCAATACATTTTAATTACTGTTTCAACAATATAATTAAGTTTCAAATTTATACACTCTTATAACCATAGTAGTTTGCTGAGCTGAAGGAATGAATACCAATATTAATGAACCTCCTAATTGAAACAGCATGCAGAATAAAGATGCTGTTACTTAAATAATATTATTGTCACTTGTACAATAATTTTAAAATATTAATTGCAATGAATTAGGAGGCTTATACTTTCAAGAGAAGGGGTTTTTCAAATAGACCATAGAACGTGGCAACTGCCAGCCCCCTGATATTCTAGCATTTTTCCTCCCAGAACTGCTATGATCCATGAGCTTATCTCTTGGAATGCTGCTCTGAATTTGCTCTTATTTCAGTATTTCATACTTTGCACTTATAAGTGAGGAACTAATTAAGTTTTTTTGGCCAAAAGGAGAAACCATCTAAATAGCAATGTGATTCTACCTGCAGTGAAGAGATATTGTAGGTTCTTTCTGGGATTCTGAGTGACTTAGGGAGTATGTGGACTGAGGATTGTTAAATGATAACATGAAGCTCTGCTGTAAGACAGCATTGTGTATATATATATATATATATATATATATATATATATATATATATTGCAGTAGATCTACCTATGTCTGGATGTAGATATCTCAGTTTGGAATTCCTACTGCCTGCTTAACTATAGCTAGTGTTACATCATGCCAGTGGCAGAAGCTCTGGGGTAAGAACTAATATATGACCTGCATCAATGATAATCTGAAACTGCTATTCCCAAATGACTTTCAAAAAATCAGCAATGATGTTCTCTAAAAGGACAGAGAAAGGGACAAATATGCTTAGAATCAGTGTGAAAACTGGCATGTAGAAAAGAAGTCTGATGTTGAAATGTGAAAGTACACTTCAGGTTTATGTTTATATATGTAAAGCTTATATTTGAATGGAAGACATAAAATGACCCTCATCATGAAGTTTTCTGATTAAAGGACTATCTCTTTATGGCTGAGAATGGACATTGGGCTGCATTGAAAAGAGGGAGATCCATTCATCATTTAAAGAAGAAAGCTCTATTTGAAGTTGTAACATAAATGTTAGGGATATAGTGTAACCTTAGAATTTACTTTCAAGGGTTTCTCTTTCTTCAATTATTTTTAATTTTTTACCAAATGTAAACTTTCAAGAAGTTAATTTTTATGAAGGCAATCATAAGTCATAAAATAAAAGCAGACATTTTATCTGGACTTGGGTCTATTTAAATTGTTTTTTCACTAGAGGCTTAATTGCTTGGGGTTAAATATTTTTTGAAAAGTAAAAAGAAAAGAAAATGTCAACCACAAAACAAAAACATGAGATTTGCTTTTGTTATAAATGATAGTAATTGAAATTGTTACATTTACCCCCTTAGTTTTTTCCATTGATGTCTGCAATTATATTAACTCAGTTCAGCAAATGAATTTTAAGCATCTATCCAATGAAGGATTGGTTTAAATGCAGTGATGGGCTTTCTGTGTCCCCTTTAAAAGAATATAAAAGGACACACTTCACAACATAAATTTAAAAAGCTCTCAAGGGCTGAAGATGATTATGAGATGAACTCCTTTTCATTTCCACTTCACTGACATGGAATGCAAACCATTAAGATGCTGACCAAAATCATTTTACTTCTTAGCTTTTCAGAGCAGAGTGACTGAGTTCATGGTCTTGTGCTATAAGGCTGGCAGGTAATGGTAAATTGGCACCCCTCCTATTCAACTGGATTCTGCTTGGAGAATCTCCTGTGAAATGTTTTTAGTGGTTGCATAAAGTAGGAGCAGGGATAGACTTAAAAGTGTAGGGCAGATGGTGTTGAAAGGATAGTTTCCATGACAATTCACTTGTGCACAGCAGGGAATTATTTTTCATTTTTATATTTCACCACTGTTCTATTTGAAGTTTGCATGTGATACATAAGACCTTCACTTCCTCAAGAACCAGAGCAAGAGAAAAGGGAGACCAGGAGAATAAGTGGAAAGAGAAAGAGCTGGTGTTATAAATGGTACTGTCAACAAGTAGGAATATTAAGTGGATGGCACTGATAGGATCTGGAGGCTGCTATCATAATAGAAATAGCATGTTTGGGGGCTGGGCTTGTGGCTCAGTGGTAGAGTGCTTGCCTAGCATGTGTGAGGCACTGGGTCCAATTCTCAGAACCCTAGATAAATAAATAAAATAAAAGATCCATTGACAACTATAAAATCTTTCCCAGTTGAGAACCCCAGATGTAGAGTACTAAAGTATCAAAGAATACTATCCCTATAAATAGTGTTTACTATATTATCTGAGGCAAGGTATATGGTAAAAGAGCTTTGGTTCTTTTAAAAGTACAACATCTGAGATTTGCTAATGGTACACACATTTTAAGGTATAGAAAGCTTCAAATCTTTTCATTTCATGTCGAATGCATAAATGTCTACGTGAAACACACATTTATTCAGTGACACTATGTCGGCCTGGTAGATCTTTCAGACTTTTCCAGGATGGGTTATTTTTCCAAGCTTTCTCTATAATTGCACCAGGAAAAGAATTACCTGGCATTAATCAAAACCAGACAGTGAACAATGACAAAGGGCTAGTATGAAGAAATATTTCTCTTAGAAATTCCTGGAGGGAAAACAAAAATTGATTAGGGAACAAGTTCACTGCATTTTGTTGAAAGGTGAAGGAGACTGAAAACAAGCAGATGATACACAAGAGCAACTATTTTTTTTTAAACTTGACTTATCCAGGAATATCCAATATTTAAGCCAACCGAAAGATAAAATAGATGTTTCAAATTGAACATCAAAGGTATGTATAAAATATGTGATCTACTGAGAAGTAAAAAATCCTTTGAAGAATTGTGTAGAGCAGAATGGTTAAAGATAGAGTTAAATCTCAAAAATAAAACCCAACCAAAGCATCCTAGGGTAACAAAAATTCCATGCCACCTCACCTTACCTGGAAGTGATATTTCTTGTGGTGTAATTTCTAGAATTCTCTTCTTCTCTCTTGAATGTTTTAAAAATTAAATTCCACAGAATGTTCAAAACATTTTTTTCTTTATTCCTAAGGATTTTGCAATCTTTCATTCTAGAGCTTATTAGTTTCTATAATTCTAGCTTTTTTCTGTTTTCCTTATTTATGTATTCTAAACGTCTTGATATTACTTTTTATTATTCTTATTGAAACGTTTTAGATATTTTAGTTGAGATTTTTCTCTTATTACACTAAAGCTCAGGGAAAATGGATAAATAATCATTTATATGGCTTCAAATACTAAAAAATATTAAGTATATGAAATGTCTTTTTACTCTCTTTTGAAAATATGTTTATAAATAATTATACATTATTCATTTAAGCATGGCTTTTATCTAGAGACCTTGAGAGAATAAAACACTAAGCAAAACTGAAAGTATTCATAAAGAATTAAAAATTTTTGTCTACTTCTAAAGCATACAGGTAAATCTGAGACTGACCTAATCCTGTTATTGTGAATTCAGTCTTCTCAAACCTACCTTGCAATTACAAAGAGTACACAACTGACTCCCAAGCAGGCTAAGAGCACATACATCCAAATATCTGGAGACAGAGGATTGAGAAAGGAGAAGACGCCCGGGTTGGTCCCATTGGGCTTCCGGTAGAGAATGCTGATGCCCAGGGTCATGAAGGGCTTAGAGAAGTCAATGACTTTCTCTCGCACGTAAGTGATGGTCAGAGGAGCCACTGCCAGGTCAGCCTTCTGCAAAAAGCAAATGCAAAACTTGTCAGCTTAATTGTCTCACTTCTCTGCAAATGTCTACACTTTTTCTGGGTATTCCTGATCCCTACTCTCAACTCCAAATGCTTCTCATGCAAAAAATTTCTGTGATGGGACAACTGGCTTCAATATAAAAGCAGACAATTTCTACAGTTATATTTATGAAATAGGATTTATGAGCAAAGAGAAACCAGAAGGAATAAAGCACACACACAAACAAATAGACATCGTTCTTGGACTAAATGGAGGAAAACAATGTAGAAGGAAATTTTTTAAAAGGGCATGTGAGAACAGGAAGGAATGGGCAGCTTGCTCATAATATTAGTTGACAAGATGAAATTTTGCTCTGAGCCTAAATCTTCGAATTCTTTATCTAGCTTAAGAATCACTCAAGCTTATTTGGTATGAAGAATGGACTCATAAGTTTTGATCTTCAATTTTTATCCTTACTTGCCCTTCCAAGTAAGCAAGGCTTGCTATCAAGATTGTTTCTCCTACCTTTTTAAAAATCATTTTCATAATTTAAACAAAGAAAACATTTCTTCTGATTCAACCATTTTTTTTCTTGTACTTTCTACTAGAGTGTGTTTTTTGAGACATGTGAGATATATTTTTGCTTACGTGATCTATGAGTTCTTTAACCATCCCATTCCACTCTCCTTTGTCATTCTGGGCTCCGTATTTGCCATCGGCAACTAGTTTAACATCGTAAAGGAAACCCAGGATGTTTGACAATTCTTTCAACAGATCCAGGCAATATCCTTCAAATCTGTCATTTCCATACAGGGGTTTGTCAGATTTCCTGTACATCACGTAGGGTTCTTCCTAAAGGAAACAAACCAAATATAAAACCTCCATTATCACAAAAGGAAGAATTGCTTCATAAGCATTCTGAAGATATGCAATGTTTGAAGATGATTTTTTCCCCTTGTTTTAGAAAAACTTTATTGAGATATAAGATATACCATAAAATATATCCCTTTGAAGTATAGAGATCGGCAGGTTTTGGTACATTTGTATAGTCATACAAATATCATCATTATCTAATTTCAGAACATTTCACTAGCTCCCCGACAAATCCAGATCCATTAACAGTTGCCACCATTCGCATTCCTTCATCTCCGCAGTCCCTGGAGACCACTATGAAGATGATTTTTAAGAGTTAAACGCACTGACATCAGTCACTTACTTTCGTGTACTTGCTAAATTTGTTCTCCCTACACCCTCTACAAATATAGAACACTTTGTAATTTTCTTTTTCTCCTGCCTCTTTGGATAGGAACTTTTTCTTCCAGTGGTGAGGCAGTTATTGTGAGTTGGTGTGACAGAGACACAGTTGTACTTAAATTTGGGTTCTGGGAAATTGGAAAAGCTCAGAGGGGATGGGGAGCCCAGATGCCTCTGATGTGTCACATCCGGGCTTCTTTGGCATGACCTCCTCCCCTTGACTTTGACCCAAGAGGCTCATCTACTTATAATCGAGAAATCAAAATCACCAAATACATCCTCTCATTTTTCAAATTTCTTGTCTGTTAAATATTCTTGTTTTATCTTCTACATATCATGTCAACTTCACTATTGCTTACTTTTTACATATTTTGGTTGGCTATTTCCATGTCTTCTTTTATCATCAGTTCCATAGTCTTGTTTGAAAGCAACTCAGATTTCAGATTTGGTGATTCTTTGCTCATATGCTCACTTGGAACTCCCCTGTCCTATGAATAATGGAAATTTCCTTGCTACTATGCATCTATAAACTTATTAATTCTTCTTTGACTAAAATGACAGTTATTTTGTTCTAAAAGTTATACTATCAATAAACCTGCAGGTCATGCAAATATAACAGAAAGCCTTATGTTTCTACAGGCCCATTGCGAGGAAATTAGTGATCAGAAGAGTAAAACCTTGGATGAACTTAGCATGAACATTTCTTACAAGTTAACTAGTACAAAAATAAATAGCTCCAATCTCATGGGCTGAATGAAATAAGGCAGGCATACCAGTAAGTGATGAGTTCAGAGAGAGCTACTCATATTCAACCCCTTGAAAAGGAAAAGGAGGTGAAGAAATAACCAGCAGGGGCATGGTGGACTGAATGGGGGCGCTGGCAGTGTTCCAACAGACTGCAGGACATGTGAAGAACACTGATGAAGGGGCTGTTTACAGAGGTGTTAACAGAGAAAGGGAGCCAAGGAGGTAGGGTTCAGACTGCATCAGGAAGCCAGTAAGGGACAGAACTGAGACAAGGAGAAGGGGAAGAGTGCTCCTGGAGCCCACAGCCAGGAGAGCTGGAGTCTGGATGCAGGGTCATTGACAGACAGTACAGGAGCAATGGCTATGGAAGGAAAGACTTTTTGACAAAACCACTGGTTGACTGTAGGAAGGGATCAGGGGAGGAAATTCCTTCACCTTTCTCCTCCCACTTCCCTGGTCTCTTAGTAGAGTCTCCTCTTGTTTAAAACCAGTGAACCAATCAGCAGCCAGAGAGCAAAAAAGGACCAGTTAGGTGGCATTGACAGGGAGGCCGAGCAGGGCTCAGAAAAAATTGAGGTGAGGGCTCTTCAGATAGATGTTGGAGCTTCTAGTTCAGTCCTAGTATAACTACATACAAGCACGTGCTTTTAGTGCCCCAGATGGAAAACAGACAGGTGCACACAGAATTGCTGGCATGAAAATGATAGCTGAGGGCTGGGGCAGTAGTTCAGTGCCAGAGCACTTGCCTCGCATGTGTGAGGCAGACTGGGTTTGATCCTTAGCACCACATAAAAATGAAACAAATAAGACAAAGACATTCTGTCCATCTACTCTACTACTACAAACAAACAAGTAAATAAAAAAAATGATAGCTGAAAACTCTGTCAAGGTCTAGGGTAGGAGTTGAGATTAGATGTCCCAAATTTCACAGAGACGACTTACCAGAATGGTAGTGACAATGAGGGTTCGGTTGGCCAGCGAATCCGTGATATTGTTGGACCTGTCTTTGTTGCCGTCTGTCATGTTGAGCCCACTGTTGGAGTTCCAAATCCCAATCTACACAAGACACAGCACATCAGAGGCTGCCAGCTCTCCAAGTCAGCATTTACACTGAGAGGCCCCTTCTATACCAGGAATGGGCACAAAAGCTTACAGTTGGGGACACCAGGCATCACAGTGGAAGCTACTAAAGGTGGGAAAACGAAACAATGGAAGAGTGAGGGTGTAGACAGAATGGGAGGGATCTGTACTATTAGGGACAGAATTGGGAGAGGTCTTCTTGTTGTGGTTGTTTGTTTTTAATTTATTAAGCTGATTGTTCTTTAAAAAAATCTAATAATTCTTCAATAACTCTCAGATTTTTCTTTCAACATACATTTGTTGAGCACCTACCTCTGTGCCATTGGAAGATAGAGATATAAGAACCGACAAAAAGTTCTGCCCTTCTGGAGATGATGTTCTATTGATAAAAACTTTATGCTGCCAAAACTGTATCATCAGTTCCTTTAAAATTCATGAAGAATGGGATGGAGGGAGCAGGGTGGATTGTGGGGAGACAGGGCACCAGAATAGAAAAGATAAATGGGAGAAAACATGTGGGTGAGAAGTCGACCAAGTTTTGGGCCTATCACTAAGGAGCCAGTGCTAGGCAGGAGGCATTTCGTGTACACCCCAGTAGGACTCTGCTCACACCTGTCATAACATCTAAGTCTTCTCTTATTATCCATTTGCTTATCTTCTATGCTCACTTGTCCATGAACTCCTGAAGTGAGGATATGCACTTTTTATTGCTCATTGATCTTTCAATCATAGAACCAACCACAGCCACTGGCATTCTGTGAAGCCCATTGCTTTTAAAATGTAATGATTTCTGATTTTCTCCAGTGGCCTAGTCACTCCTGGGTTATTATGTCCTATAGAAACACAGGTTGAGCACCCCTAGTCCAAAATCTAAAATATTCTCAAAGGACAAACTCATGGAGCTCTGACATGATAAAAATTCCACCCAGTGGAAAATTCCATACCTGACCTCATGTGATGTGTCTCACTTAGTCCAAGCATGTGCACTAAAACTATTGCAGATGCTTACCTTCAGGCCATGTGTATAAGATGTATGTCAAACAAACACATTTTGTTTTTAGTCTTGGGTCTCATTCCAAGATACTCATTATATGTATGTAAATGTTTCAAAATAAAAATCCATAACCCCAAAACATTTTTATTTGTCCCAAGCACTGCAGATGAGGGATACTCAACCTGTATACTGATTTGCTTAGCTTTTGAGGGAACCCAGAATACGAGCCTTAGGGAATTGAGCTACTTGTCTTGAGTCCTGTAGGCATTTACTGGGAGACTTTTGAGATGAAATACAAGGGTGTTTGAGTGTCAGGCAGAAACAGGTAGTTGCTATGTGACCTTGGACCTGATGCTAACCCTTCTGAGCTTTGTTTTTTTTTTTATTATAAATACCGAGAAGATCAAATGAGATGATATATGAGGAAGTGTTGGTGTGTGCATAGAGCTGCACAAATATTAATAATAAAGGACATTGAAATGACTGTCCCAGGAATTTCTTTAAGCTTGCCTTATAAAAGAATAGGGAATTGATAGTGATTTTTTTTTTTAATTTAGAAGATGATAAAGTAAAGAAGCTATGACAAATAGAGCCAGTTATAGGAAAACTAACATTTGAACATACTCTGGTAGGGTGGATCTATGCTTGAATTCCACAATAAGACGACACTGGGCTAGCTTAATAGAGTGAGCTTTGCAGACAGACTTTTGTCCCAATCCTAGCTTTGAAACTAACCAGCCATGTGACCTTGGAGAAAGTTACTTAACCCTTCTGTGCCTCAATTTCCTCACCAGCAGAATATGATAATAGGGAATTTCTGATGATTAAACAACATATCACATGTGAAAATATTAGGCACCTTCCATCTTTGCTTTTTTCTAACTTTACTTTGATTTACTGGCCAAATTTGATTACTGCCTAAATTCATTTGCTTGGCAAGTATCCTTTTTAGAGACAGAAATGTTTTAGGAAAGTTTCAAAGTCTATCAAACATTCACATTTTCGTGTACACTATTTCGAATTCACTGTTTTCCCTCCTTCTGTATTTAATTAGGATTATTTCATTGGAGAAATAAAGAAATTGGTAGAAGTAAATGCAGTCTTGGAAACAGATTTTGCATGAAAATATTGTGACACTATCTAAAGAGGGGGTGTTAGAGGTAGAATTGGATGTAGGCCAGCATCCTTAGTAACCATTCAGTATTCCCGGGGCCTCTGGTGATGCTTGTCTCCTGGAATGTGCACATGCCTCCGTTGATTAAAAAGTTTTCAGTTTTCTATAGCTAGCCTTAAACTCAGGAAATAAGATATTTTCTTCTCACCCTTTTCCCTTTCTCCTACTTTTTTTGAAGCAGAGACACTTGCTTCTGGGAAGCAACTCAGGCTAAATACATTTGTCTGTTGGCTTTTGTTCAAAGCTTTGTTCTAGGTTGTTAGCAATGAACTTGTAACTCCATGAAGACTGTATGTAAATTGGGTCCTAGGTAGAATTTTGATTAAACCTTGACTTGGGCCCTGATTTTTAATTAAGTAACCATTGAAGGATAGAAAACATGTTTTTAAACACTTAGCTAAGTGATAGAGTATGTTCTCTTTAATCTCATTTTCATTAATGTTGCATGTGTGTGTGTTTAAAGGAAGTATTTTTGAAGTGACTTTAGGGGTTTTTGGTCTCATTCCATTCTAAAATAAAACTTGAAATTGTAGACAAATATATGTCACAGCTTAACATCTGGCTTTTGCTGTTTTTACCATCCCCAGTAAAAGTGCAGAAGGTAAGAGATTATTGCTGCTGCCTTTTCAATCAACTAAGTCCCAGAGTCCCAATAGTGCAAATTTTCCATAAAATGAGAGAAAGGAGAAGCTATTTTTTTCCTAGTAGCTGTATAACAGAAGAGCTTTTAAATGTAAATGAAAAGAGTTGCAAAATATAGTAAAGGTCAGGCTATTCTGGGGAAGTAAACAATATTCATATGCAATTTGCATGACCTCAGCCTTCTGTTTTTAAACCCTTCAATCAGCAAAACCCGAGAGCCCGGGTGTGTTTGTCTCTGTGTGTGCACACATGTATGCAGGCATGCTTGTGTCATTTAAACTTAAGTTGTCAACTGACTTTGCCTGCTAATTGAAATGAACAGGTGGTCAGTGAGTGAATGTCTCTGAAGATGTGAGATCCCGTGATGCGCGGGTGTGGGGAGTACAGTTACCCAGATGCCTAGATACTGGCATCTAGGTCTTGTGCTATGACCTTGGAGGAGGGCCTCCAGGAAGCGGAATCTCAATTTTCAAACTGTATAGCCAAAGCAAACAGCAGTAATGTACCAGTGAGAATCAGTGGAGGGTGGATCAATTATGGCTAAACTGTGGGGAGGCACATTCAAAATCTAAATTGTCTGGCTTGCCTTCGCTCTGCCTTCTCTCTGTACAAGCTGGCAAGAGGCCCCAGCCATTTGTTACCCTGGACAACTGAGGGAAGCTTTGAAAAGGAATGCTCCCAGGACACTTAGCAAACTCTAAAAAAAGTGGCATGACCAAAGGGCATTCAGAGTCACTAGTATCTGTATTTTCTACACCTAGAGAGGGATTTGCATAAATGCCAGATCCAAAATTTCTGAGTGAAATGATCAAGCTTTTACCAGTGACAAACATGAAATGCATCTGCTTTTTTTTTTTTTTTTTGGGGGGGGTGCAATACTGAGATGGGGGCTCTACCACTGAGTTACACCTAAGTCTCCCTTATTTTCTTTTTTGAGACAGGGTCTCCTCAAGTTGCCCAAGCTGGTCTTGAACTTGTGATCTTTTCTCTTCTGCCTCTTGAGTGGCTAGGATCATAGGCCTGTGCCACTGTGCCCAGCTACTCCACATTCCTCCTTTGGAAAGAATTTCAGGTGAACTATTCCAAGATGGGAGTGCCAGAATAGCTTTTGGAATTTAAATATGATGGCGGCAAATCCTTGTCTTTTCAGATGGAGTCTTCTTGGCAGAGTGCAGTATGTCTGAATGAGTCCCTCTGCTAGAGTCCTGGATATTGTGAATTGCTGAAAAAACAGTCATAACACAAAACAGCACACCACAGCATAGACAGCTGATGGGGTGGGCAATGAGGGGGCATTGGGAAGGATGAAGACTACTATGGGTGTGGACGAGCAAGGTCAAGAGGTTACATCCCTGGGATGTGGCATGGATATTGCAGTTTAGTGGCAAAAAGAGGACATTCCCCCTCCCCTGTGTACAATTGCAGAGCTTGGATTCCATTCCCTAGGGTACTTGGTGTGGATTAATTCAACATTGCATAAGTGCCTGGAGTCTCCAGTTGGATTAGTGTAATCAGTTGCTTTCTGGGTGTCAGTTAGGGTCATCTGTTCACTAGCAATGAGGAAACTAGTTCAACTTCTCTATGCCTTTAGTAGTCTGGTTCATTGAAGATTAGAACAAGGTCATTAAATGCATGCTTTTTAAAACTTAAAAGGGGGAAACTTTCAAGCTGAATACTATCTGCTGAATGCTAACAGGAGAGAGAAAAGTTTTTGGCTACAGGGAGAAACTGCTTATGCTTTCTGTGACTCAGCTGATAATTTGAAAGATGAAAGTGAACCTGACAAACTCTTTAAGTTGAATAACTTGAAGTAATTTAAGATCCATCCATCAGTCAACAGATTTTCAGCAAGTAGTTTTAAGGCAACAGGTGGAAGGGAGAAGAAAGAAGGAAAGACAGTGCAGTGCTTGCCTAGCCCCGGGATGTTTTTCCATTCTGAATGTTTTTAATGGCTAACATTTGCTTATATAAATCTAGGCACATTCACTGGCAGCATGATACTGTACCATAAACTATGAAGTAGTAGGTATTATTATTTATAAGATAATCTCATTTCCTTTCCAAAGTTTATAATGCTTTTGTCCTCTGGAAACTAGTTCTAAAATAAATTGCAAGACAATATGCCATGACATAGATATCTTGCAAAACAAAGCTCGTTCTACGAATGAGGAATTTCTGAAAATGGCTCATATTTTGTGGTGGTGACATTCAAGGAGATGTCCCAGCCTTCTGAGGATGGAGGCTACCTAATCAGTCAGATGGATCTAATCTATTGTTGTTTTTATTCCCTTTAGGGGAAATATTTAGTGATATGAGAAGTAATATAAATGGGCCAATGTTTGCTTCAGTTGAAGCTACCTGTTTTCTATCCTAACAGCTGCAAATCCTGCCTGGGAGGAACAGAAATAATCTAGGGAAAGTTATTTAGCCCTTCATTATTTAATCCATCACAAGTCAGTCTTAACTTATGAATAATGTTGGGCAAGAATATATTCAATCACCCCCTTCTCCCTTTATATAGAATATCACCTCTAAACTGCAATGCAAAGCTACTAGTCTGGCACAAGTGGAGGGTGCAGGTTTTTCCATGGGTGTTCCCCATCCCACCCCAGGTTTCCTGCAGTTTTTATCCGAGTACAAACCTTCTTCCACACTTTAAACAAGTGCTTAGACACTTCGCCAGCAGCCTTGGTTTACAGAGGAAAAAATAAAAATAGCACTGAATTAAAATGGAGCATAGAACCCAAAAGGAACTTGGCGTACAAATGTTAAGTGTTCACATTCTCTACCTGTCGTTTGGAATTTTGCATCTTAATTCAATATTAAGCCTGATAATGGGTACAGTAATGAGAGGAATCAAAACTTGGGTTTTCCAGAAGTTACTGTGTGGTAAGACTCAATTTTTACTTTTCCTTTCACATGCAAAAAAAAAAAAAGACAAAGCACTTTTTAAAATATACACAGTTATCTATGCTGCAGCGTTAAAGTATCTCCCTTGTTTAAAAAAGATTTGCTGAAGGTATTTGTAATTAAATTAGTGGGTCACACATGTACACACACACACACACACACACACACTATTCCTAAGCTACACAAGAGAGCATACTTTGAGATTCATTCTTTGGCGATGGGTTTCCAGACAGCAGAAACTTGAGTATAAGTGAGAAATGGGCTTTTTCTAATAATTTTCCTTGTGGACCCTGAGAGAGGCTGACATGGAAAGATTGGACATGTCCTCTCCCGGCTCCTGAGAGAGATATGTTGGCTTCCCCCATTGCCTTAAGGCCCAATCAGACTTTGCAGGAATTGAGCCCATGTCACCTGAAGAAAGAAAAGTTATCGCAAACAGTGATGAGATAAGAAACAAACAGAAATACTTTCATCTAATTCCATTTTGCCTGTGATGGAAAAACACCAATAGAATGTGCATAATATTGCAGAGTCTAGATAGCTGCAAAGGCATAACAATAGCTCCATCTACTTCATCACCCAGCTGAGCCCAAAAGATGTTTCCTGAACAGCTTGTCTTCCTCCCTTAGTGCTGAACATTTGGAAGAAAGAAGGGGAGAAAAGGGGGCGTGCCTAGAGAAGCAGACATTTTCTTTAAAAAAAAATTATAGGTTTTTAGATCAAAGGGAGTATTCCTTTCTTTTGCTTCCTCCAGCCTGAATCCCACACGTCGTTGTGGAGGCTGGGTGGATGCCCCATGCTATTAAATCAGCAGAGGAGCAGATCAGCATGAAGCAGAAGGCAGAAAGAGGGAGACAGCAGCATTTTTGACGTGGGGAATGTGCATGTAGATATGTACTCTCAAAACTGGAAACTAATTATTTTCCTCAAATACTTCAACATCAGTGGTAAGCTTCTACTGCATTTAACCAATTAATGCTAGTTGTGTGGGGGAAGGGTTGTTAGGATCTGCAAAAAATAAAGAAAAAAAAGGTACCTCAGTTAACAACAGAAATAAAGTAGAAATGAAAACACCTCAATAAAAAAAAATTAACCCGACTATTTAAAACTAAGTAATCAATCTATTGCTTTCAAGGACACTCTTATACTAAGCACACCATCTTGTTCATGACCATAAAAATGTTATAGAATTTTGATGCTCAGATGATTTTTGTGGTGTTCAAAATTTTTTTCCTTATGATCCTAAAGGGAAAAATCTTCAAAATTTACATGTTAATTTCAATTTCTAGTCATTGATACACGCAATATGAATAAGTTGATATAGTTGATATAATAAAATATACTGAGTAGCCAAATTATTTCCCCACAAGATAAGGTCTCACTTGACTAGGCTGATCTAAAACTTGAGGTCCTCCTGCCTAACATTCTGAATAGCTAGGATTACAGGTGTGTGTGTGTGTGTGTGTGTGTGTGTGTGTGTGTGTTGTGGGGCAGTGGGGGGAGAGGGAGTGACAATTACTAGCTGGAATTTTTTCATCATTAATAACTAAATAGTTTACATTTTTGTTACCCTACATACTAACTACAATAAAGCTTTAAACTTTGGGATTGACAGTTACAACTAAAATAACCTTTAAAGTAAGAATCCAACATTAAAATTAATTCTTTTTAGCATTTGTCCTAAAGTTAAGAATGCAAAGTTAATTTGCATCAGTAAGCATCTTCTATTTTATTCCAATCCTCTGTCACCAATCTTAAAATAGAATGCAGTTAAAATAAATGTCTGAGAAACCCTTGGATGCCATTCCATGATAACTCATTGACAGCTTCTGACTTCCCAAGTCTAGAAACAATCTCTAAAAACCTTTGAGAAATGGGCCAAGTCACAACTACCCATAGAGTAATATATAGTAAGTATGCATACTTGCTATATAAACCAAGCACTGATAAACATTGACTAGCATTGCTATTAACAGCACATGTATGATGCATAAGTATATCAATGTCTATCTGCAGATTATTCAGAGAAGCACCTTTCATTCCCCCTCTCATCTGCACAATGTATCAAAAATGCTTGTGCAGTGCTCTTTAGTCATTAATTTATTTAATTCATCAATGTATTTATTTGTTAATGGAGAAGATTACCTTTTCAGTTCCTTCCTCTTTGAGACTAATGATGTCCAGATCAAAATCCTTCCGTAGGCCATCGGTCTTATTGAAAGTGATTCGTCCAGTCAATCCATCCCACCGAGCCTGTAGACAAAAGGCATGTGGCGTTACCACTTAACATAGAGTGATCTTAGGACCAAACAAACTGCAAAGCCTCAAGTTCACTGCAGCATCCAGTCATTCATCTTCGTTACACTGTTGCAAATTACGGCATTGGCCCAGTGACAAAAACCAGAAAGTGTCACCATTTTATTGGCACTCACTTATTTTGTCATTCCTAACATCCTAACACCAGTCAAACCTGTAAGGGTGGCAACCAAAATGGGCAGCATGAAAAAAAAAATTACTGCATCACAGTCTGCAGGTGGAGTAAGAAAAGACTTGGAGATCATGATATTTCATTTTCCAAGGTCAATTCAAGCCCCCTTCCAGCTACTGCCAAGGGAAAGTGCCTCCTCCTGTTTCTCTGTGAAAAAGACATAGACCAACATGCATTATTGTACGTGCAGGGTGTTTGTAATCTAAATGGCTGTCTAATGTAATTTGGGCATTGTAGTTTCCTATGCGACAGATTTTCACAGACTTGGTGGATTAAAACCACAGAAATTTATTCTTCCATAGTTCTGGGTGAAATCCATGTCATCAGAGCTGTGGCCTCTCTGGAGTCTCTAGGGGATACTGGTCCTTGTCTTTTCCTGCCTTTGGTGGCTGCCAGCCCTGCCTTGTAGTCACATTACTCCAAGTTCCGCCTCTGTGAATTCATTGCCTCCCACTCTTCTGTTTGTATGAAACCCCCCTCTGCTTCTCTAAGGACACCTGTGATTGCATTTAGAGCTTGTGGATATAATCCAAGATAATCCACTCACCTCAAATCCTTAATTTAATCATATATGCAGAATCTTTTGTGTGTAAGGGAATACAGGGATTAAGACTTGGGTATCCTTTAAGGGAGACCCTATTCTACCAACCGCATGGATCAACATCATGTTAGGAATTAAAAATCACAGTTGTATACCCTTCATAGAACTCACGTTGTAAATTTTTGGTGGTTTCATTCAATAAAAAAAGTGGCTCTTTGAGCTCATTTGGTCATTTTTGGGATCCTAGTTATTTGAGTTTTGCTTATAAATGGGGATAAAGTAAATATATATTTGTTTTTCTCCCTTTTAACTTCATGAAATTCATCAGACAGTTGTAAAATGTAGAGGTCCTAAAGAATTATACTTATATTTTCAGTTGTTTACATCATATGCACTTACTGAATGTATTTACTCATTTGGCCAAGAGAGGTAGGTGGTATGTGGAAAGAACACAAGTTGTGTACACAACTATGGGTTTGAATCTAGGGATCATGACTCCAGTTAAGTCACTTAACCTGAATCCAGTTTATCTTGAACTTCAATGTTCAATCCAGGCAAAGATTTTGCGAGAATTAAATGGAACTTAATACAACAAATAATACAATTAAAACATTTAAAATTTTAAGAATTATTATTTTTTTTTACCACTAACTTGCTTCTCTATACTTTCATAACTCTAGAGTTTGGATATTACCTACGTGTGAAGACTCATGTATCTGCTCTATATTGGTCTCTACTGTATTTCATTATGCAAATCACTGTCAGATTCATTGTCCCAAAATGCAATTTTCATATTCATGCTAACTTCCCCAGTATATAAACTATATTATGGATTCATGACACCTGCAAATCAGTCTGAACCTTGACTTTCCATTGGAGGTTGTGATGATTAATTTTATGGGAACTTAACAGGGTCATAGGATCCCTAGATATTTAGTTAAATATTATTTCTTGGTGTGTCTGTGAGGGTATTTGCAGAAGAGATTAGTGTTTGAATTGGTAGACTGAATAAAGCATATTTCCCCCAATGTGGGTGGGCACCCCCCAATGCAGTGAGGTCCTAGGTAGAACAAGACAACAGAAGAATCATCCTCTGCCTGGCTGTTGGAGCTAGAACATCAGTCTGCTTTCAAACTGGAATTCATCTTACTGGGTTCCTGGTTCTCCAGCTTTCAGCCTTGAACTGAAACTACATCACCAGTTCTCCTGTGTCTCCAGCTTGCCCATGGCAGATTCTCGGACTTCTCAGCCTCCATGATTGTGTGAGCCAATTTCATTTAACAGATCTTTTTATATGTATTTATATATTCTAGTGATTTGTTTCTCTGAAGAATGTCATATAAGATAGAGGTCTTTCAAAATTTTGCCTTACTTACCTCTCCAGAATTTTCTAATTTGTTTCAAAACCAAATTATACCAATTAGCAAATTTTATTTTTCTATCTTCTTTGAGCTCGCTCTCTCTCTCTCTCTCTCTCTCAATTTACAATTTCTTGATTTATAATTCCATCTAAAAATAGTGCAAATGCCCACGACTTGGAATCACGAAACCAAGTTTAGTCTTAAAGCCATGATGAGGTTGTGTGACCTTGACTGAGTTGTTTTTCTCTTCTTCATGCCACAGAGGAATGTTATATTAAGTGAATAAGATGGTAATTCCAAAAAAGTAAAGGAGTTCCCACAAAGATATTTAATGTAAAATTGGCCATCCTTTGTTGAGCACCTGTGATCTGCATTGCCATCCTCATATTCTCAGGTAAAACATACTGCTCTCTGGTTGGGGAAAAAAGAGTTAGATTGATGTTTTCTCTCCCATCACTATTAATTCATTTGGAAGATATTTATGTATTGAGCATCTTCTCTGTGTGAGGGGCTTTGCTGAGAATACAGCAACTAGCAGTTTATCAGTTAGTAAGAACAAGCACATTAACAAATTATAACAGAAGGCCAGGAGTGTGAGGAAGAAGACTTGCAAAGAGTATTGAAGAAAGAAACAAGAAGAAAAAGCACTTATTTCAGCTACAGGGAAAGAAAAAAAAAACAGCAAAAGATTCCTGTGGGCAAGGATACCTGGGCTCTCAAAGGATGTGATGTTGGCCAAGCGAAGATTCCTAGCCTGGGTAAAAGTATAAAATGAAGACTCAACTTTTAAGTTTGCCTGGGTCTACAATGCAGGGTAAGGGATGGCGAGAAATGAGCCTGGGAGGGATTCATAACATAAAGGTGTTATGAATCATTCTCGTTTGCTTGGACATTGCTCTGTAGACATGTGGGAATCACTGGAGTGTTTTAAGCATAGAAGTGTCATGCTCAGATGTGCATTATAGGGAGAACACTTTAGCAGAATTAGGGAGGATAAATTGGAGATGGTCAAGAGGATAATCAGGGTGTTAGCAGGTGGTTCTCATAGAATAAAATTTATAGAACCAAATTCATACGCCCACATATGAACAGAGGAACAGGCACAACTCTTCATCTCCCTGTTCCACTATCTTGCAGTAGAATTATTCTGCAGCCAGAATGGGCAGAGTTTAGAATTGAAGAAGTCAACCTGAATGTCAAGAACCAACAATATTTACTAGTACATTTTCTGGTTATCATTTGGATACAATAGATATCACAACATAAATACAATCCTGGAAGTTAAATTAATGTCAGGAAATGAGACATAGGCAAGAAAATGCTATAATATTCTCATCCAAGCAGTCTAGATGGTGAACTGGATGGAAGCTGTCCAAGTGCCATAGCACACAGAGAGATTTGCCTTTTTGGATCCTAGGACTTAGTCCCTAGAGTTCATTTCCAAGGGGAGCCTATCACATTGAACACTACCATTAGCTTTAGAAATGAGATGACATGTCTTTATGGTCAGCAGTAGCACCTGTGATTACACTGGCTGAGACAAGGGAAGCAAGTCTCTGTGGTAAGATAAAAACCATCAGTGACGCATATGCAAGCAGGGAGTGTCCTCTTGTGCATATTTAGGAGCCTCCCTGTATCTTTTCCCACCCCATCAAATCCCAATTTTAGTCTTTGGACTTTGGTTACCCCCTTCTTATTTTGTAAGCCAAAGCCGGCTTTGTGGATTGATGGGTTAAATCAAAGCTGCAAAAATAAGCTGCTATATTAGGATTACAGCAAGTGCCTGATTGCCAAGAGAAATTTGTCTGTCTTTGGATCAGTAGAAATCTCTACCACATTAGGGGTCTTGATGAAATCATTTTCTGGCACTTTCTTCACACTTGTGAGCAATGTGCAGCTCTAACACCCATCCTGATCTGTTTGGAAAGAGACAGTTAGATTCATTAGGTTCTACAAGATTTTTAGAAAGCTTTTTTCTAAAAGCAACTTCTCTTTTATGGAGGTCAATTTTGTACATTGTCCAGAATTTATGAGGCTCTCTGAAAATGTACAGAATTGGAAGCTTTTTTGTCTTGAAGTAGCAGATAGCTCATAGCAGGGTTTTTAAACACAGTTCTGAAATCCAATATCATTTCCATGAAGTGTATCTATTGTGCCCCTTTGTTTGTATTCTGTTGTATTGGTTTTATTCTTGAACTTTGTGTTCTAATCCCTGGTTCAGAGTAATTCCTACTTCTTGCTTTCCTTCTTGCTCATCCAAGTGGCAAAAATGTTCCCTTTTCATGCTCTGACAATACTTTCTTCCCTGCCTCAAATATCTACAAAGACACCCTGCCTGATTCTTTGCTGAACTGTACTGTTTGATCTTCAAAGTCAAGTTTCCTTATTGCCACAACTTCCCGTATTTTCTTGCCACCACCTGTCCCTAAACAAGTTCCATTTCTATATACATTCTTTGTTTACTTGCAAAGTAATTGTTGATAACTATTTCCCAATTACCATCCAAACTATTGATTACAATGACTAATTTCTAGACATGATAAATAAGATCCATAAGGACTCCATTTTCTGGGACAAGGCTGAAACATATACAATTTATATAATGATATATAATTCTATTATTCATAATTACAATTTGTTTGCCTCGTGTGGAAACATTTGCAGAGCGGACAATTATAGTACACTGAACTCAAAACAATACTTAAACAGTTGTCCCTATTTTAGGAAATAGCTTTAATATCTACCCTGTTGGGCTTCTTGACAGTAATTGCTTAATAGCAACTAAATTAAATGGTAGGACTTTTTTTTTCTCTTATTGGATACACTCTTTAATGGACAAAAAATTGGAATCAAGAGGTGGAAG